AGGAAATACAACTGCTAATCCAGAAAATTCAACTGTTAATCAAGAAAACACAACAACTAATCAAGCAACTGTAAATGCTAATCAAGGCAATATAAATCCTAACCCAAATGATGTAGGAATAGGAAACGCTGGTCTACGCATTAATGCTAGAATGTTAGAAAGAAGTGTGAATGATTTGTTAACCTCTTTAAATGCACATATCAATCCTAACAATGCCAATAGGCCTAACGAACCCATAGAAGTTAATCGTGTGCGTGTTTATACTCCTGGAAACTTCATGCGGATGTGTTTTCGTTTAGCAAGGAATCCTATGAACAATGCACCAGAAGAAAATATACGGTTGACCAATACAGAGACTCCTAATATGGAAGATGTATCGAATACAGCAGAAGTGAACACATCTGAATCAATAAGTGATAATAATTCTTCTAATGTGATCAATGACTCTGAGTTGAACTCATCCTCACATGTATGTGCTGGTACTGAAAATACTTTAGAAACATCTGATACTGTGAACAATTCAAGTGTCAATAACCTTAATTTACCAAATTCCTCTTCAGAAACCTTATTAAGTGATTTATCAAATTCTAACCAAAGTGTTCTTAATTTTGAAGATAAATTTGAAGATACTTGTAAGGTAAATGCAGAGTTGGATACTGCCTCAGCAGTGGCAAAAAATAGTTTTTCGGAATCCACGTCCAGTTCAAGAAATCAGTCAGCCGTAACTTTGGAAAATTTAAAGACTGCTTTAAGTTCATGTGAGATAGTAAGTGAATCTAGTTCTATAGATAGCAAAAGTCTCTCACAAACTGATTCAATTTGATTATTATATTCTATATTAACTGTGGACGTTGTTATCTGTCTATATACACTGACTGATAAACAAAACAAAACATTTCTGTAAAGATTTATTGAAACTTTAAAAACAAACCCAATGAAATATTTAAAAAAAATATTTGATATCAGTGAAAATGATTGTGAATTAAAACTCAACTGAATTCTAATGTGTGGATTTGTTTTCTCACCTGACAAGCTATCTTTCAATATCTATGTGTGATGATCAATTCTTTGTTATGATAAGGCCTATTTTTTGACTGATCTGATACAGATACAGCCCAGGAAAGCAGGCAGTCTATGTCGTGGTCCCTCTTAAATTTGAGGACAGTGCATTTATCAGAAATTTTAGGAAATTCAAATTTTCCCCTCCAAGACTTTTACCTTCTAGTAATTCAGATATGATCCAGAGGGAGATGAAAAAACTTGGTTTTGGACTTGATATCAACTTTTGAATCAATTTAGTTAAATTATTATTTGTCACCTCACATAAGGATGGTAGACTCTGGATGTTTTGGGATTTAGACATGATGTTGAAACTTGAATTGATGTAAGAATTTTGAAGATGTGTAATTATTTTGATCAATTATTTGTTTGGTGAGAGTTTTTTTTGACCACCTCTGTTGAATCTGGGATGTTCAGTTTTGATTGCTGAGTCTTGAGTCAATTGTAGTGATATACTGTATTTGTTACCTCTGGGAAGTGGGAAGTTTCCTACTAGGAAGTTGTAATTACCTCTTGATTCTTTTCGGGACACATTTGAAAAAATAATACAGACACATGCGCTCCAGAGAGAAATATTTGCATAAAAATTATATCATGTGTCCATTATATAATATAGATTTGTTGTCCAACATTGAAATGTCATATGTCATGATCTGGATATAATTT